ATATATATATATATATATATATATATATATATATATATATATATATATATATATATATATATATATATATATATATATATATAATGTTATGTTATGTTATGTTATGTTGTGTTATTTTATGCAATGTAATGATCATCGTACTCTGTGGAAATCGGGATAAAGTTAGAAAAGGCACAAGTTAGGAGTAGGCTACAAAACATTTCAAAGGCTGGAAAAGCAAACAAATCAAAGATGTTCAGAATTTTATTATTTTTATTTACATTTCTGATCAAGTAAACTTGGCCTTGATAAACAAAAGTTCACCGAAGATTCATAAATCCATACCTTGGACTATTACAGCTGACCAAGCAGAATCAGAATTCTAATTGATCAGTTTTGACATTCTATATTCTGTTATTCCTAGATAACAACCGCTGAATAACAAAGACTCTTCGAGAAGCTGAGAATCATCTAATAGTTTTAATAACTCCTAATAGCTGATTTCTTTTATCTCTGCCATGATGACAGCACATAATGATATCAGTCTTCAAGACACTAGTATTTAGCTTAAAGTGACATTTAAAGCCTTAACGAAGTTAATTAGGGTAAATTTAGGGTAATTAGGCAAGTCATTGTATAACAGTGAGCTGTTCTGTAGACAATCCAAAACAAATATTGCTTAAAGGGGCTAATAATATTGACATTAAAATGGGTGTAAAACATTAAAAACGGCTTTTATTCTAGCCGAAATAAAACTAATAAGACTTTCTCCAGAAGAAAAAATATTACAGGAAATACTGTGAAAAATTCCTGAATGTGTTCAACATCATTTGGCAAATATTTAAAAAAGAAAAAACAATACTTCACAAGAGGCTGAATAATTCTGACTTTAACTGTATATCTCTCTCTTTCTGTGTGTTTCAGCGGCGTCGGGTGCGGAGGACGTGGCTCTGTATGTGGGTATGGTGACGGTGGCTCTGTGTCTGGCTCTGCTGCTGGTGGTTCTGGTTTTGGTTTACCGCAGGAAGAAGGAGGGTTTGGATGCAGACGTGGCCGACTCCTCCATCCTCACCACCGGCTTCCAGCCCATGGGCATCAAGCCCTCCAAGCCAGGTGTGTGGGCACCGCGTAGAGCCGCCCGCTGCAGTACGAGATACAGCTATATATACTCTCTATAACTGTGTGTGTTTCACTCATCCGCTCATCAGTGACACTGTGCCGCCTGTACACACAGATCTGCTCATGCGTTCCAGTTCTGACAGTGTGTTTTGGAAGTTTTAGTTTTGTTAGTCATACTTTTGTAATTAGGTCTTAGATTTATAAGTATATTATATAATTATAATTTTGTAATATATATACACATACAGTGCTCAGCTTAAATGAGTACAGCCCATTTTGTAAATGAATATTTTCCTACACTTCTCAGTGAATATAGGCAGTGTGTTTTGGTGCATTTAAACAAAACATAATTCTTAAACAGAGATATTTATTAAAATAATATTTAAGTCACCAAACATATTGAGAACTTGAAAGATAATACAATTAAATTCAAGCTAAATATTGCAAAATTTAATATTTTTCTATAACATTTAAAAATATTTACCGTTATCATAAGTTATTTTGTTATGAGGTCCAGATTTGGCTTCAGCACTGACCAATATAATGTATATGCACAAATATAATATTGTACAGCTTCCTATTAAATATATGAATTTAAAAGAGAGATTTGTGAAGGGTGTACGTATATATGCTGAGC